AAAATTGAACCACAGTTTATGTCAAGTAATTGAATTCTTTATAAACGATAAATTACAAGGGTTTAGGAAGAGTTAAAAAGCATGAAATTTTATTTCCCGGTCTAGATATTGAAATGCTATTTTAAATCTCGACTCTCACCAAGTCTTTCATCGAGTATTTGATTAATAAATCTTACTGATATCTCTATTTACAAATTGAAATGATTTCTCTCACAGATAATGAATAGAGATTAAACTTTAACATTTTCACTTTCAGATTTCATCAAATGCAGTCTATAAATCAATATCGGCCTTTTTAATTCATGAACTTAATGCTTGAAAAGAAATTTTACATAATTTGAGGTTCTTATCAGATCTGAATTCTTGTTAGGTTAATATAAAGGAGATTAATACTAAAAGCTACGTGGGCTCTCTTCCCCCGAGAAATAGAACAAGTTACATGCCAATCAAGTTACCTCGCAGTGAGGTCGCCCGATAAAAAGAAATAGTACCTTCGCCAGATACAAAAGCATGTTACCCCGTACCGAAAATGAAATGACTGGAGTTTTACGTCCTACTTTTCTGCACCATGTGGGCTAATGAAGACGGACAACGCCGTGCAATGAGGGAAATTTTACCCCATCCCGAGAAAAAGAGAAATTTAACACATTCAAGAAAAAAAACCCGAGTTACTTCACCCCAGGCAAATTTACTTTACTCTAAAAGTAACCCCGTCCTAGAAAAAGACAGCTAGGTCTACCTTCGAGAAAGGGAACAAGTTACCTTGCCCTTGAAGTAAGAAAGAAAATTACTACCGTCAAGACTCTGGTTTAACTTATATATAGGTAATTCGTTTAAGTTAAAGTCCCTTTAAAACAGAACGACAATATGGAGACAATTCAATATCTATATTATCGAAATTCTAATTTGTAATATTTCAATGGTGAATGTTGACACCTTAATGCTTGTTTGATGCTTTTGGACAACATTCTCGTTGATCAGTTCTAAACGTAAAAGGCTTCCGATGTAAACTTATTCAAATTTCCTTCCGATCTGGGGAACATCAGATAATATTGAAATATTTGAAACTGGAGACTAGTGAATAAAAGAGGTCTAGACTATCCTTTTTATCACAATATAACGAATCGCTGTACATGTATAACATTTACAAATGGTTTCTACTTTTATTATCAGTGATGTTTGTTCATACAAATTATGACTTATAATGAGAATCTGATCTGTGGAACGACCTTAAAACCATCATTTATAAGGGCAAACCACAGACAGCAGTGGATCACTCTAAGATAACCTATTTTCATATTGCCAAAAAGATTTGGACATAATTGCTATGTATTTCAATTTCAATCATTTGAATTGACGAAATTTTCATTTAATAAGCATTCAAATTACTTAGAATAGATTGAACTGCAAGTGATAACCAATTACTACAGTTACTTTCCGGCAGGACATAGACCACTACCGATAACTTATTATTCATAGTCAAGAAAAGATAACTCAATTAACCCGTACTATAAAACTATCAAATTTGAACTGAAAAGAAGTCGCTGTGCCATTGATAAAAAATTTTGTCAAACAAGAAGGCTAATAAACCTAATTAATGTACTATAAAACTCTTAATTCCGGACCACACAAACCAATAGTTTTCAAACAAGAAAAAACTAAAATCGGTAATGACAAACTGGGTTTATTTACAATTCCGCAGTTTAAGTTTCTTGTTCATAAGAAAAGAGACAAGATGTACATGAGCTCAACTGGTTTAGGCAAGTATATAATAATGTGTCGAAGATATCCCATTACCGTGACATGTAGAGACAATTAATAATAATAATTGGTCCATCCTCAGCTGGATTTCAGAACGTCTGGCATCCCGTCAATAAATCATAAGAAATTCTTTCTCTCATTAATAGTCTTCTATACATAGCACAATAAGGACATGTAACATACAATTTCCTTTTCATAGAGACGAAATCTTACGAAATTTCCATTTTCTTTTTAAAATAGTTTTGTCCCATTGGAGTCGTTTGATATAAAATGAACAACTTAAAATTGCTTTGGCTCAAGTCCAATTCAGAGATTCCTAAATCTCAAGAATCACTAACATCGCTGTGATTTATGAACTAAATTTTGTCACAAATATTATTCAAAGCAGAATTTTCGAATACCCTTGAAGTTTGGTGAATTTACATTTGAAATAAAACACTTAGAAAAGTGAAGATAGCAAGCTGGTAGCTGGAACTTTAAACAAAAATAATTGGCAGTATAGTAACTATCGCCGGTATGAACTATTCAACCCTCTTTCAAACTTTTTTTGAGTGACACATGAACAATAATTTTGTCAAAATCTTACAAGAATATAGTGCTTTATTGTGTTTAAGAGCTACAGATTTAACGAGTTTTCAAGAATAAGGGCAATAACTCATATTAAATATTTTTAGATTTTTTAATATTAAAAAAGGGTGAAAATAAACGATAAAAACGACCCATACTGAGAACTGAAAACAGCTGTCCCTATTCCTACATAGAAATAAGCTGTGAGCACTCTTTCACAATCCTTATTCGTTCCCCTTACCTAAATATTCATAAACATCACCGACTAAAACTGCCTTCATCAACTTCAAACAATAAGGTTATAATTATCCTCAACCCAAAGTGAAGTGAAGACTCTTTGTACAATTTTGAATTCGATTTCGAGTTCGATTCACATTACAATGAAAAGTAAAATATAATTCTGAAACCTAGTGGTCGGACAGTAGCTTAACTTACACATCCAATCGAGACAAATTAAAAGCAACCCATCAGAATAAGTGTCACAATTAAGAAACAAATCAAATTAATATGTCTGAATTGGCCGTCAACAAATTGATTAAAATGCAGATCTGGGTGTTATGTTTCGTATTTTGTATTGGGGGTTACTGTACTCAGATCTATGATCGGAAAGAAATTCACCTCCGTTTTCGTAATTTGTACGAAACAACCAAAACTAAATTAAAATTGGACTGACAATTCAAATGTAAATGAATTTCCCACAATTCTTCATATTTAGTGGATAAATCGTTCATTGAACAAAGTGTTAGATTGATTTAATATTTATGGTATCTAGAAACCAAGGTGAATAATACGAATAATATGAGAAAAATGAATGCCAAAGGAAAGACCAGTTTGTAGACATGATCCTTTTAAATCTATGTTGTTGTTATTGGTTTTAGATTTTTTTTAGGGAGGGCAAGTGGTGACAATCACAGAAAATAACCCGAAGTCTTAAATGAAAGAATGAAGGCTACTTACAACATAATAGGCGTGGAAACTTGAATTTTAAACTTCAACAGACATCAAAACACAACTTTGACAGAGTTATTCAGAAGAACTAGGTCGCACGTGCATTGTTAAACAGTCGTTACCAGTTTAATACAAAACGTAATCAAATATAAAGTGTACCCAAAATCAAGATGAAATATACTCGATGAGCCGTTATTTGGGTATTATGTACGTCTTGCAAAAAATATATTTAACATTTTCAAACCAACTGTGTGATTACCGATACATCATTGATTATAGTCGAAGCGTACATTTGAATTTCTTATATATCTGCACATAAACATTTGTTCGGATACAAACCAAATAAGATAGGGTTGATTAGATTTGTAACTAGTAAACTGTCTTTCTCAAAACCATTTTATATTGCAACTTATCTTCGTATCTATTTGGTACCGAAAGTATCAGTGCCATAACGGCTGTTTACAGCCCCCCTCCCCACCTTTGTTTAAACCAGCTGATGAGGATTTCATATCTTCACGTGTCGCCAGAGAAGAGCTCTTATTAGCAAGATTCCTTAAAGGGATTGTAGCATCAAATCGCACCATTCCAATTTTCAATCATACGTCTGTGATTCCTGCAATGCCACTAAAATTAAGCGTTTTATGACGTCACTTATCCTATGTGATACAGCATATTTTGTGATTAGCGACGTCATCAAATTTAAGTGGAATTGAACCAAAGACGTCCGATTGAAAATTTGAATGGTGCAAACTGATGCCATCAGTGTCCCCGATACACATACAATATTTAGAAAACATCTTTACAATCCCTTTAACAACAAGCCCGTACAACTGAAAGTTAATTTTGTGATGACCACCACTTACGTCCACTGTAATAATCTTTCCATTTAGACACGATTGAAAACTCGATAATGACCCAAGGTAGACCAAAGATAGTAATAGAAATACATCTTCCTCAATATATTTCCTTGTCGATTACCATCAACCAAATTACCCGCTTACCAATATCACTTAGGTAGAACGTCGATTAATTCTTACTGTAAAATATAGGTTAAAATAAGATTAAGCCATCCTATCTTATTCATTTCATCATAGCATTAAAATTTGTGGATAGTTAAAGGGACCATTGCCCCATGTCTGAGAATGTACAGTACATTATCTGCACATATTGAAATGCTTTTCAGTGGCGGTGCCAGCCTCCCGAAACTGGCAAGTCGAATAGAGGGCAGACCGACTTAATGGGTTGGGGGTAATTGGTCTTGAAGCGTCTGAAATGATTCCGGACTGACTGTAATTGGCGTAATTGACAAAAACCTTACTAATTATATTGCTTTACTACACCCATTCAGTAATTCTTGGCAGTTTCCGTAAAGCTGAATCTGTTGCTTAAGTATCACCACGAGAAAGCAAAAATAGACAATTTCTAACAATGAGTAAAAAACATCCAGCAAATAAATTGAATTATCTCCCTTCAACCACACATTATGTTCCAGTTCTCACGTATCTATTTTCACGCAACAGTTTCATGATCCCAAGAATAAGAACAGGCGCATGCATTTATATTCAAATTCTAATGAACTGATACCAAAACAAGTGTTCTTTTGTATAATGCATAGCTAGACATAGCAGTCTGCAAACCCAAACCAAATGGTCTATGGAAGTTTGGCATACCGACTTGCAGGCAGACTTACAGGCAGACATTTTTAAAAGAAATAATAACCTATGTTCAGTGTTGATATATTTAATTAAGCAGACACAAAATATGATAACAATAAATATAACAGCAGACATAGTGATTGGATCGGTACTAGCAACATGACTTCTTTACATAAACAATACAAGGAAAATTGATAATAAGACCTTCCTACGTCTGGCAATGTCTATTCCTGTACTTCTGCTTCCGAGAGTCAGTCCGGTGTCGGCCTTCATCCCTTAATACCTTATACATTCTACTGAAATGTCAAAGTAATGTTTCATTTTTTTTTTTTATTCTTTGACTGATCACGACAAAAGCCCATGACATCTCATTATAATGAATGCATAGAATAGAGGGTTAAGGGTTATTTTTTTTTGTCAAAAGCTAAAAGGAGGGATACACCTCCTGCCATTCAAATTTCATTCAGTATAAAAATTAGTCCAAATTACAAAATACTAGAAGTGATTCTTTTTGGACTAGCTTTAATTCGAAAACAAATCTGACTAGCAAAGTGAGAAACCTAGAAAATTAGCCTTATTTCCTTTAACGTGTGCTTTATGTCAATCATGTTATATTTTTATGTGTCTAATGATATGATTAATAACAGACAATGTAATGATAACATGTTGAATAGAAGCCAAGTAAAATAATACTTTGATTATGAAAAGGAGATATTCAAGAGCATCTGGATAATTTTCATAATGATCAATAATTATTTGATTATTAATTCCTGATTTCTGATTTTAAAGATGCATTATAATCAAGTTTAAATTTCATAAAAATCTTCAAAACATGAAAATTGATTGCAAATTATATTCAAATCCAAATTTAATTTTTTTCTTCAACTAAAATTCAGTATTAAGCCCCATTTTCATAAAAACTTTTAATTGCCAAATTGTGTAAATAAGGTTTTTTTTTAGAAAGCATAACTCAACAGATCTGCTCAGATAAAATTCAAATTGACTTCATTTATGATCCATAATTAAAGTGAACACTGAAAACATAATAATGATGATGATGATGATTAATGATGACAATAAAATACAAATATGATGATGACTAAAAATGACTACAAAAAATGTACATAATGATGAAATAAAACTAATTCTTTGATAGAAACACACAATTTAGTTAACCCTTTGTTGTTGGATGATTCCAGGATCTTTTTAAGTGGTGTTCATACTAGTATTAGGCAACAAGATGACTGACATAGGGTTAATTGCCAATGTGAATACTTAATATAGCAATAACATTTAGAAATCTTCATACATTCTAGAGCAACTTCTTTGCCTTTAAGCGGAAGATGACAACAAAGTGCTATTTTAATTCTATTCATTTTGATTGATTCAATTGGAAAAAAATTACAGAAAGGCTACATATAGTTTTTTCACTTGACTATGATTAAAATATACAATTTCTATCTACAAATTGGCTGAGACACATACACAAAAAAGAAGCACACAACTATAGTACCAAGGTTCCATGAAATTTTGCAAAAATATATTTAAAACATAAAGTTAAAATCTTAGCTGATCTTTATTGATCTCAATGCAGATGTCTCTTAATATTGAAAATGTCTCTTTTAGCAAAATCATTTCTATCTAGCAAACGAAAAAAAAGTCAGTTCCCTTAATATCTATCATCAGATGGAATTTCCTCCTTTTTCACATCACTAGGATGAGCATTATAATACTCTTCTTCTTCGTAATCTCCTTCATCATCATTACCATTCTCTTCTCCATCTTCTTCACCATCTTCGTGTTTTACCAGAGCTGGATCAAAGTTCTTGCGATCTTCAGCCTCTTCATTAGAATCATTCTGTAAACGTCCATATCTATAATCATCTTGAGTCTTCTCTTCCTTAATTCTAACATTAGGATCAAAGCCATCATCGGGTTCATCTTTGATTCTTCTCTCTCGAGATCTTCTCCTGTCTCGGCTTCGGCTTCTTCGACTACGTTTCCTGTCTCTGGATCGGCTTCGTTTACGATCTCTTGACCTGCTTCTTCTACTTCTTTTACGATCTTTTCTACCAGGCTCTTCTTCTTCAACTATTATATAAAAAAAATATGAAACATCATTTTGAGGTTTTTAACATTTTTATACAAATGCATAACAAATTGGATATCTTTTACCAGCAATTTAACTAAATGGACAGTTACTAAATTTTATTGAAATCAGATCAAAGACTGTCATATAATATGTATTATAACCAGACCATTCTAAACACTGTTAAAATCTATTTGTGAAATGACAAGCTTTCTACATATATTCATGTTGTTCTTTTAACTTTCTAGCATAAGCATGTAATTGTAAGTTAAGGTACACAAATTCAACAAACGTAAATATATGAATTTTCTTTTTTACCTTCAGGTCCTTCTCGTTCTTTACTCCTGCGTCGATCTCGACTGCGAGACCTTCTCCTTTCTCGACCTGGATTACGTTTGCGTCTGTCTTCTCTACTGCGAGAGCGACGTCGTCTGTTATCACGTTCACGCTCTGGTGGTCTTTCACGACTGCGAGAACGTCGATCGTCACGGTAACTCCTGCAATATGAGAAGATGGCACTCAGACAATACGTTATTGGTGTGTTCCAGTACAGAAGATATCACCAGTTTTACAACAGTGAGTAAATATAATTTCATTAATAAATCTTATACATCTTAGTATATTGTTTTCTGTTTTCATTGACTTGATGTATATATAGAACCTTATATTAGTCAAGATACATATATTTTGACTTAGCTTTTTGCATTGGAAAATTTTGCATAGATTTCAGTCTGAATGAGATCTAGTAATCACTGAAGATCTCCAAATTAGGTTCAAAAGACAATTTTCAGCAGCAGCTAAAGGGAGTATATCATCACAGCTAAACAGGCACCAGAATGTAACTTAACGTGAAATGACTGTGGTTATTTGTATAAATAAATATATAAATATACACATGACATCCAAATTTGAAGAGTTGTTTGGCCACGTAAGGATCTGTAGTCTTGGTGATGAACAGTCACTCTGCGAGAGTATATGTCAGTTATTCCGCCTAGCGAAATTGCGTAGCAAACATGAAAATATTGAATGCAAATTATCACAAGCAACAAACGCTACGACGCTCTGCCGCACCACCTCAGTTGAGTGAATTCCAATTCAGTTTCATTGTGTTTTTATCCGAAGAGTCATGGAATATGAAATGTACATATATTATGTAATTATGCATCATCCTTCTTACCAAGAAGACAGGTAAGAAGAAGAAGTATAAGCTGTACTCACCCTTCTCTGCCAGAGAATCTGGTATTTTCTTCTGGTCCACCTTTTCTGGTACCACCTAATCCCCCTCCTGTAATAATATTATATTGGTATTTAGTTTATACAAATTATAGACTTGTCTCCCTTTTAATATATAACTACAATCTGTATATTTCTAATTGTAACTGTACATCTACATACAGTAGGGCTATGTTACCAGGAACATATGTAGAAAATACCACAGGAGGGCTTGGGGTAAAATATGAGGTGTCTCTCCAAGGGGAAGTGCCCCCAAGGCACCAATGGATTTCAGATGGCCTGAGATGATATTTGAGCATTTAGAGGGTTTTATTTTCACTTTCTATATATGCTACTGTGTATGTATGATACATATCATCAAGAGATATTAATCAACAATTTCAAAGTAGTATAATAACAGTGTTGAATAAACAATTCTTACCTAATCTCCTTGGAGTCCATCCTTTAACTGTTCGTCCCCTTTCAACATCAACTAATACTCTTCTACCATCAATTTTCTTACCATCAGCATGTTTATATGCAGCTAAATAGGGCAGAAAACAAATAGAAACAGTGAATAAACTATCAAACTTTATTTAACAAAAACAATAAATCTTTCACTTTTTGGCTTTAAAAATTGACTTAATATCGAAAAAATTTTCATATGTGCAAGGCCTTGTTCCAGAAAAATGCAATAACAAACAAGGTCATGACCAACTTTCTTGTTGTGATATTAAAATCGAAATCTAAAAGCATGTAAATTTTGCCATGTTGGAATTTGAATACTTTCTGTCAAACATGTCACCTGATGAAAGATTTATTGCCAAGAAAATAATGCCAGTGCCACCATTATGGCAAAATTTTCAAAACTGAACACAATATCACCTCTGAATACCTGAAATAAAAAGTAAGTTGCTGTGCACACCAAATTCCTACAAATAAAGGGATGGATTGCTAAAAATTGAAAGGCCAAATAGTGTTTGTCAGGTTATGATTTACTTACCAAAAATTTGGACCTAATCTTTTTAAATAGAGTAGTTATTGAGTTGGGAAAGGGCCGAAAGGGGATCGAAACAAAACGAAAATATAGAACTTACACCATACTACCTATTTTTTATAGTCTTTTATATTGGGATTCCATTTTTTTGTTAGAGCTGTCACCAATGCGGTTATGTAGTCCAGTGGTATAATCCAGCTGAATACTTACCCCGCTTAGCTTAGCTTACCTGAATTTTGTTTTTTAAACCAGAAAATGTCAAAAATACTCGAGTCAGACTCTTGAAATGTGACATTTTCATGGCATATATTTTGTTTGGTGTGTGAACTTTTGTCTTGATATGTTCATCAAGCTGTTTTTATCTCAAAATGTGTGTGTGTTTTGTGTTTATAATGCTTTTTTCAAGAATTCCCTTGTTCAGAAATCAAATCTCTTTTCAATTGTGCCAAATAAGAATAAATTCTAGAACCAATTTTGATAAAAAAAAATTGTTTAATCAAACCTCTGAATTTATTTGACCTAATGTTTTTTTGAGCCCAGAGTAATTTGAAAATGCTATCCCCAGATGAATTTCGACCTACAGAAATTAGACGTGTCTTACATTGCCATTCAAAACCCAATCTTACCAATGTTATACAAACCTAACAATGGTGTAGTTATGAGCAACCTTTCAATATGGAATTGTAGAGAGCCTAATCAGGCCTGAAGAGGGCTGAAGAGAAAAATAAAGAAAGCCCGAATTAATATATGACCACAACTTGACACCATATATACTATAGAATATGTTTTTGGACTCCTATAAGGTCCTTGATATGTCTTACCATTCATTGGTTTTTGTAAAAAAAAAAAAAGGCAAAAATAATTTGTAATTTATCAAGATTTTTAAACTTACACTTGGGGATTAATATATCATTTTGTTATGATGTTCTTACCTCTACTGTGTACAATCCCCAATATATCATACCTTTTATAGTTTACCTGTTAACATACTTCAATGTAAATATACATTATTACACTTTTATTTTTAATTATTGTCAAGATACATAAGCTTACATGTACAATTATGTTCATTTACAATTATGTTTACAATTATGTTCATTTGCAATTATTATGTTCATTTACAATTATGTTTACAAATATGATCATTTACAATTAATATTTTCATTTACAATTATGTTCATTTATATGTTATTAATTCTAAACATTTAGTTATGATCTTGAATGTGTGTGTTAGCCCAGGCTGATAAGTATTGGATGAAAATGTAGTAGTGTGTCTTAAAGGCTTCTCGTGTAAATTATGGTATTTTTCTGTTAGTTACGACTATGAAATGTTTTTTAAAAAAATTCATTTTTAAAATCTGAGTGAGAAGGTCTTGCTGAATATATGACAATGTGTATTGAATAACTTGAAGAGAACCGAAAAAACTTCCAGAAACTTAATGGAATCATAGCTAGACCAATTACCAAAATTCCTGAAAATGTCTTAACTGACTGTAATAGATCACTGAAGAATCACCATACAAAAACTGAAAAATAACTGAATAACTTTCACAACTTAAATAAAAAGAAAAAAGAAACTTGTCTCAGCTAATGACAGAATGAACATCATCTTCTAATCTAATTAGTTGTTGCTAAAAATACTTAAGTTACTCAACATTTAGAATTCCAAGACAAAATTAAGTTTCTTCTGTTAGCTTACTGGCACCTTTTCAACCTTACAGCTAGTAAGATCGATCAGTCTTCAACCACATCAAGTTTTTTTTGATTGAATTTCCAACTGATTTATAAAAGAAAAGTGGGAAGTTAACCCAGAAATTAAGACTCCTCTCATGAAATTTAACAGCTAGTTAAGTCTTAGACTAACAATGATGGCATTGCAGTGTGCAAAGAGGGAAATCAGAATTCCATTGATTACAATTTTTGAGAAAATTTTCTAGAAAATTATTTACCTCTTAATCCATTGACCTCTGAGTGTAAATGTGACAAAATGCATATACCCTGAACTCCACGTAATATAAGGGAGCCATGTTGGCTCATTGAGTTAGATGCTTACTCGCTAACCTGAAGGTCCATAGTTTTACTCACTGACCTGAAGGTCCACAGTTCAATCTTGGCATAGGTCGAGATCATAGCATTTTTCAACCTGGCTTCCCTCTGTCAGTGACGCAGGTAAGAGGGACTGATATGGAAAAAGCATCTGGTCGTTCGGATGGGACAATAAAACTGAGTCCCTGTGTGCTACAGGCTGTGCACTTTAACAGATGGAGCAGAAAAGTAGGAAGTAAAACTCCATTCATTTTATTTCCAAGTAATATAAGTAAAAACATATGACATAGCGTTGTGAGACGTCACCGTTAACCGGCCTCTCGGATATATATTGCGTAATTATGTCGCCGGTAAACCAGCCGCTAGGTTATAAAGGTTTAGAATAAATATAACATTGAACTAATTATAGGCACAGCATTAAGAAAAAACAATCACTGGTCAAAGTTTTTTATGCAATGTTTTCCCTTTAGTCCTCTGGCACATTATGTGCTGTGTCTATATATTGTACTTACAATTGCTAAATGCCATTCAAAGAATTAAAACATTGAACTAGTTTTGATAAAAAGTATTAATACTATTCAGTACAATATTTCAATGTCATTTTAATTACCAGTTACAGATGATTTCTGGTTATTTAGTTAGAGTTTCTTTACTTAACAAAAAAGCTCAAGATAACTTTGATACAAAACATAAACACTGAGTTGCCAAAGAAAATAAATTTGAAAAATTTGAGATTCCTGAATAATTCTAAACAAAAGGCAGATTATAGCAACAGATGATAAATCATCTGAAAACTGGCATAAAAAGATATCAATTTAAATGTATGGGAAAAATCGCTCTCAGTATTCAAGATAAATGGCATAAAATCCACTGCATCAGATAGACTGCTTTTCATGGCCGAAAATTCATCTTTAGATATTTGGAAAAAACATTGAATGAAACTTAATGTACATTTCAAGCATATCAATTATTATAACAAATAAAAACACTATAAGCTAATCAGTTGATTGGAATATATTGTCTAGATCAAGGGAAATAACTCAGAAAGCATTTAACAAAACTTTGTCAAATTCAAACTTGTTTGAGAACTTATCAATCCATAAGCATTGGCTTTAATTTACAAACAGGAAAAAAATCTCCTTTTAAAATTAGAGATGGCATAATAATTTTAGTGACAAATATAGTTATCATAATTCTTCCAAACTAATATGGTAGGGAACTTTGGAATAAATTATACTTGAAGTACAAGTACTATACTAGGCAATAACATTGTAGTATCTAATGAGTTATCTGCTAACATCATATATATAGAAATAAGAGAGAATAAGATTTATGTATGAAATTAACGATTCTACTCATGGATTCTAACAAATTGAGACAATCTATTGATTATTTTGTCGTGAAAGATAAATTCAGATGAAAATTGAGTTATTATCTAATGATAACACAGAAAAATGATCAGGGAAAAAAAACTATTGCCATGAATTATATCAGTGTTGCTTTGATCAAATGTGACTTCAGTGCGCCACATCACATCTATTCTGTAGATTACTGAACTCAAAGGAATTTGTTATTTATAGACTTTTTCTTTCAATAGTTCAACATTAAAAATGTTAAGATACACAAAGATTTAGAAAGTTAGACAACATAAAAAAAAAGAAATCAGGTTTATCTTTCAACTAACTCTTAATCATACGACAGGAATTATCAACAAATTTTCCAATAAATTTTTAAAATATTCTCATGATTTATCTCGACAAGCAGTTATAATGTCAAAACCTCAGAATTGAGAAGAATCTATCAAATGAGTTTAATAAAGATATAAAAAAAGAGATATTCCAACTTTAAAATATGCCCAAAGTTTTGTGGTGAGTTGAATTATTTTTATCTCTCAAAATCTCTGAATTTTTCAAAAACATGTTATTAGTCGAACCAAATTTGAATCACTTTTACCCAACTTTGAAGCAGTCTGCTAGTAAATTGTGTCTAGTCCTAATTTCATTGTATAGAAGCTTACGAAGTGAAAAAATTAGTTGAATTTGTAACAAGTCATAATCATTAATCTGAAGTGAACCTTTCTTAACTTCAACAACAAAGATTTGTAGCCTTCATTATACCAGTATTTTTATCTCTGATCAAATCAATACTATTTTCTTGATGCCAGAAATAATATTTTCTCTACATGAACTGCATGAATAATGATTTAAAGAATTGAAATCAAGAAAAGATTGTGTCTCTTGGGAATTGAAAAACTTTCTATTCAAACTAAGATATGGACAATATCCTACTGTAATGCATCTTATTGGCCTAAAGAAATATTTTTGGTAAAGCCTGGTAGGATTAAAATCTAACAGCAATCAAATCAAGATCTTTCCTTTCCCTACTCTTAAATTTAGTTTGTCACTGCATGACAATCAAAAAAGACTTTCAGCACTGCACAAAAAGCCACAGACAACCACCATTCCTTGTACATGTACATCAAACTCAGAAGTTCTTCTTAAATGGATTTTAAAGACTTTTTCTGAATTTTGTGTGTATCAAGTACACTGATAGCATCAATTTGCACCATTCATATTTTCAGTCACACATTTGTGGTTCCTGCAATTCCACTAACTCTAAGAGTTTGATGGCGTCACTAAATGCACAGGGCCTTATGTGATAAAGCACATTTCGTGATAAGTGAATGTTTTTATGGAATTGCAGAAACAGACGTCTGATTGAAAATTGGAATGGAGCAAATTGATGCTATCAGTCTCCGTGATACACATACAAAATTTAGAAAACCTTTTTACAATCCCTTTAACATCCACTAATCCCTTATACATGTAAAGCACAAGATCAACATTGCATGCAATTGCACATAATAATTGTAGCTACCAGCATGACTTCCTAGATTAAGTATCTTTCACCATGCTATCAAATGATATTTACCTAATCCTTATTGAACTGTTTTAAGCCAGATTGACATTAAGAAAGGTTGACATGTCAAGTGATTTGTCAAGTACCAGATATTTTTTTCTGGAATATACCACTGAGATTTCGAGACTGATCAGCTTTCATGATCAATACCACTGTTAATAGATATTCCATGTGTCATTCCAACATACTTCATGGTCAATAAACAGAGATAGTCTACAGTAATACTTACTAATCAGGGGCAATAACTTTCCCGGCTGTGGAAATCTCCTAGTAGAATCCTCAAAAGAAGTAGACAGCCTTTAAGTATCAATCAAGGAATTTACTAATATTAGTAACAAATACATTTAGTTCCTCTTAGTATCCAGACTAATGTACTTTTAACAGTAAGCCTTCATAGTATACGAGTGAAAAGGGGCAAAATCTAATAATATTATAGGTAG